TAGCACTGGCGGGCTACTACAAGTGTTTGAAATCTCTCGACGAGGCTCTTCATATAATCACGATCGAACTTCACTTACAGGTAAGTTCGTTTGATTGTACAATAATACCACACTAGGAAATACGTCAACAGAAGAAAATCCTCAAAAACAATGAGCCAGTGATCGAATATCACAACACAATAAAATAATGATTATAAGGAAAATAATAATAATTAAAAAAAACAACTTAGATAAGTGTGTGAAATGGCCATTAGATAAAGGCCACACCATTAGTTTTGATTTGAGCAGTGAGAATTTATTTTTAAGCACTCTTATATCCACTCGCGGACAGCTAGTTTTGCAGTAGTTTATAATAATCAGTGTGCTTTGTTTTTTTTCCCCTCTTCTCTTAAAAATTTATACACGTCAAAATGAAATGTATGACTAGAATTTAAGAATAAAAGCGTTTGACAGAACTCAGAAAAGGGAATCTAGTGTCATTACCTTTGGGGTTAATGCGTACCTTTCTTTAATCGGTTACGTTACCTGTTTAAAAGAGTATCATGAATTTTATACCAGTAGGTTAAATCCCTATTTGTCTCTCCATTTCCCCTCAGAGTAATCCTCCGAGGAGAAAACCTTACCTTAATACACAAAACACATTAACAAACTCAATTGTTGTTTCATTCTATCGTAGGTACTAATCTGTAAAAGGACTATTCTTACAGTTTCTCAGCATCCTGAACTTATCCTTTCATTATGTAAAACAAAAAATAAACACCTTCAACATAGGTCATGAGGTTCATCCTTCTGATGTATTGGGCCATGATACATGCTGCCATCGGACCGGAGCAACCCTACAGCCAGGTCCAAGTGAGTGAACCCTCAGGATTGTATTTCGAAGCAATGGAGCCTGTAAAGCGAATGATTGGAGAATGGGCGTTTTTCACCAGCATTAACCTGCACGAGGTTTATGCACATTCAGAACCAATAGTCCCCCTATTGCGCAGGTATTTTATTAACTCGAAAATTGAGGACTCCACCATCCACGGTGTCAACGAAATCCATGCGGGAGTGGGAAAACGAGGACGCGAATAACGCACAGCGATGGAAAATTCTGCGGGATTACGCCCATTCGTACAGAGTAGAAGAAAGCACCGACCACAAAACGTATAGTTCAGATTTCTTAATGGAAACCGCGCGGTTTTATAAATAATTTTATAAACAAACCCCATTACCGAGGGACGGTCTCGCCTGGTTACAGTTAAAAGAAATCTCCGGTATTCAAATGGACGTCAAGGAGGGACATGTCATTCTTACCCTAAAGGTTTGTAACGAGCATCGGGGATGCCCGTTAGAACCCCCAAGAAAATAAGAAATCGGGAGAGAGAGTGAGACAATTGGGACGTAGTTTAGGTTCAGGAAAATTAGGATTTCTCCCTTCGGGGTGGTTTAGGGATTTTAGGGTTAAGGTTAGGGCAAGCTATAGGTTATTTTAGTTCCGGCCCAAAAAGCCGGCGCTCCAAAGAAAAAGGGTTCTTGAGGGTCAGTTGGTACAGGTGGAAGACCGTACGGGGAACACGAAAAATACCCCAACGGATCGCCAAGGGCTGTTATGGGTGGAAGGCCGTCCGGGGTAGAATCAACCTTCATCCCGACGGAGTGCCAAAACTTTAGGATTAGTTACGGGTGGAAGGCCGTCCGGGGTAGAATCAACCTTCATTCCGACGGAGTGCCAAAACTTTAGGATTAGTTACGGGTGGAAGGGCGCGCGGGGTAAATCCAGCCGTTACCTCGGCGGATTGCCAATTAATCGAGTAAAATAACGGGTTAGTGAGACAATATAATACGTTTAAGGTTAGTGATTTAGGTCTTCTAACCCCAGGAATCCAGGAGAATTAACCGAGAGAAAAATACCGCGGAAAGAAAAATTCTGGAAATGAGAATTAATTTAAGTTTGAATTAATTCTCCCGCGAAGGGCTTGACCCAGAATAAGGTAGAGGGATCCACCAATCGATACCCGATCGATTGGTAGGCGTGATTAGGGGGTCAGCCCAACGAGACACTGACCTCCGAAAATCAGTTACGCATTAACCGCGGTAACATCCACACGTGAGTGAACAGGAGTGAGTAGTGAGAATTAACGAGTGCATCACCCAGGATACCAGAACAATTAGCTGCAGCCAGGATGGTCCTGAAGAGAAAGAGGAAGGCAGCGAGGAAAACGACCGTGAGTTTTTACGGCCTTAATTAAACATTTTTCCCCTTTTTGGCGGCTCCCCAATAAATTATTGGCGGTAGTGAATTTTCCGAACCAGGGAAATGGCGTCGGTTGTGTCCCCCAAAATTTTGGGTGGTTTTGAAGAGGTTGTGAAGGGTTTGTCCGAATAATCTCGGCCTGCATTATCCCCCAGTGCGGTTGGGAGGTCACTAGTGTAAATTGTTAGCCTTGGAGGGTTTTTGTATGTGAATTGGGAGTGAATTTGTCCACGGCCGACGAACAAGGCCCGTGGTTCTCCCTCGTAGCGCAATCGAGGCCGCCAACGAGTGGCTAAATTACGTTAACGGGGTTAATTATGGGCCCTTAAGCCTGAACTTTTGTGGGAGTGTGGGGAATGATGTCCCGGACCAGATGGTCCAGGGTTTTCCGGAATCTGCTGAGCAGATTCCGCGTTATCGAATTTAAGGTGAAGTTGGATTTTTTTTTGTGTATTTCTCCTCGCTGCTAACCGAGCAGCGAGGCATAGTGCCGTCTCTCTCACTCTCTCTCTCGCTTGCCCTCACTCGCTAGGGGTCCGATTCCGGGAAATTATCGATTTCCCGGGCGCAAATAATATTTCGGTTATTCCTCGGATTATCGCCAATCGATAATCCTTGAGGCCGCATTCCGATGAGATTATTGGATGCTGGTGTGGGATATTCAGCGATATATTCGGTATTTGTTAAATAATTTATGTTCGCGGCGATTTAAGGAGGCAGTTGAAGTTTTATTTGGATTTTTGTTAGAAAATACCTACTTCGCGATAACTGAAAAGGAGAATTGAATTTGGATTTGGAGATTTTTAGCTGGAACGTAATATTTAGAGGAAATTAAAAATGGCTAGTGAGATTCGGAAGCAGATTGGTATAATACAATTGTTTATCATTTATTACTCTTGTACTGAATTTTGACGTTAATAGCGGAACACGTAAGGACAATGTTTGGTTGCATTAATTTATTTCTCGCCTCCCGTTTCCTTTTTTTTTTGTATTTTTCCCGATATTTGCAGTAACCTTGCCGCCATCTACGATCCACCCCTCTCTCCACAACTGGTATACTCAGCGATCCCAGGACCGTCACCTTTCCCCAAGAGCCTAATTATCCTTTCCGTTCCCTTCAGGTTTCCTTTTTGATTTTCGAGTATATTTTTGAGTTAGAGCTTTAGGAGTTTAAGGTACGATTTTCGATACAATGAATTTCGAGGTTAGTTAAGTTTAGGTTTACAGAATTTTCCGGTTTGGTAATTCCGGTTAAAGATTACCTGGCGCCCATTTCGTTAAATTTTAGCAGGTTTTATTAGGCTTAGGGGAAGTAGGGCGAAGGTAATGGGCATTTTCCATTCCCCGGGGAAATGTCACGTTACAGGTTCCTTTCGTAAAGGACGCCAACGATAGGATCTATAAAATCCATAAGCATCCCGTTTACCAAAACCTTTCCCCCGAGAAAGGGTTGTTCACGCATATAGTACCCTCAACCGAATACCTTCGGATCACTGAACGTGGGCAACAATATTCGGGACTTCCCCACACGTACCTATCCGAATCTTGTAAAAAATCAAACGGTCATTCACTGTGCCCCGC